GAAGGACAGAGCCCCGTAGATGCCGAACCCAGCCACCTCCGGCTGACGTGACGTGTCAAACTCACGGAGGCCTCACAGTTTTGAACCTGCAGGCCTCTGAGCAGAGCTGTCAGCCCTCCTTCCTTAGTCAAAACTTTGACTGCTGCATCCAGCAGCCCATCGTACGTGCCCTGTGGTGCTGTCTGCAAGAGGCCGTCACGCTCACGCGAGGGCCCAGCAGGTGTTCACCTGCATGCGGATCTTGACGGTGTCAAGAGGAACAAGAGCGGCGTGCGCGAAGCTGGCACAGATGGCTCCACTCGCTGCAAGGCGCCAGTAGACACTGCAAGGAGTTGAGAAGCGGAGGTGGAGGAGGAGGAGAGGAGAGGAGAGGAGAGGAGAGGAGAGGAGAGGAGAAAGACGATAAGACTAGCGGTACGTGAGAGGAAGCAAGCCATGGGGAACGATAAATACCGTGAGGGAGCGGAAACTTGAAACCAGCTCGTGCTATGAGGGAAGTTAGGAAGATGCAAGAGGTGGAGGAGGCAGATTCAGTGTAAGGGTTGGGAGAGAGAAGGAAGTGAAGTGGTAGAGGTGCAGGAAAACACGAAGCGAGCAGAGAAGGATCTGGACCGATCGAAGCTTGCTTGATGGCTATGCGCGCGCTCCTGTCGTGCTCTTTCATGTTTGTCCTCATGCTCGTGATCGACCATGGTCTCCTCTCCGCTCAATCGTCGGTCTCCGCTATGGCGCCGAGCTTCAGCAAGGGTCAGCTGTGTCGCCCCACAAACCTCATGCTGCGAGGAGGAAGGGGGACGAGGAAAGCGCGGCCGGTAGAGGAAAGCTCAGAATCTGTCCAACAACTCTTGCCTGTATCGACCGAAGAGGCGGATGTAGGAAGATGGGAGAAGGATGGAGGGATGGAGCGCGAGGACGAGGAAGAGAGGATGGCAGAAGAGGAGGAGGAGGAGGAGGAGCAGGAGGAGCAGGAAGAGGGTCGTCAACAGGATGGATCCCTTCAGAGTGCGCATCAGGCTCCCATGGTGGATCGAATTTTCCGCCAGTGTCAAGACAGCATGCGGAAGACGCAGGAGGAAGAGGAGGAGGCGGTTGTGCTCCTGCTACTCCCCTGCCCCTTGTTGACGTCCCGGCAGGTCCGGCAAGCCCGAGCAAAGTGGCTGAGAGATGGAGGTGGAGCAGTGGGAGGGATGGAGGGCGGAAGGAGAGGAGGGAGAGGACAGGAGGGAGAGGGAGAGGTGGGAGAGAGGTGGGAGAGGAAAAGGAGGGAGAGGAGGTTACTGGAGGAAGTGGGTAGAGAGGAAGAAAGGGAGGAAAGAAGGTTGGGATGGGAGGCTTCAGGGAGGAGAAGAGGAGCAGAGCGCGAAGCTTGTTTGATGTTTCTACAGGAAATCATGTGTTTGCCGTGGAGCTAGTCGATAGCCTCAGGAGGCTTGCGATCTCAGAGCAGACAAGAGCAGGAGGAGCAGGAGCAGGAGCTGGAGCTGGAAGCAAGGAGGGCAGGAAGCAAGATTCAAAACGCATCCTCATCAACAATGAGGTTGCATCAGTCCTATCACAGCAAGGGACGTTCAGAAGCTCAGAGAAACGCATGCTGGAGGCTGCGGGCGTTCATCCTGCCATCCTGCTTGCTGCTGGCCGCTACTTCATGGAGGTAAGGGAGGCTGAAGCAATGTAGAGCAGCCGAACATGGAAGGACGGGAATACAGGACTGCATGAGGAGAGGATGAGGATGAGGAAGGGAGCGAAGGGAAGCGCAGCAGAAGTATGCAGCAGCAGCAGCAGCAGCAGCAGCAGCAGCAGCAGCAGCAGCAGCAGCAGCAGCAGCAGCAGCAGCAGCAGCAGCAGCAGCAGCAGCAGCAGCAGCAGCAGCAGCAGCAGCAGCAGCAGCAGCAGCAGCAGCAGCAGCAGCAGCAGCAGCAGCAGCAGCAGCAGCAGCAGCAGCAGCAGCAGCAGCAGCAGCAGCAGCAGCAGCAGCAGCAGCAGCAGATTTTGACATGTTTTTTGGCTTCAAGGTGTGTCAAGACAACACCAGGTCACTGCAGCTCTTCCTCCGAGTGCTGAAGAGATCCGCTTCCACTCCCTGCAACGTCACAACAGCCGCCTGCACTTCCTCCTCCTCCTCCTCCGCTTCCTCCTCCTCCTCCTTCCACACGGAGCCGTCGGAGCGTCAGTTTCATGCTCTTGCTCACCTTCACTTGGGGGATCTTGAGATGAGACGAGGGCACGAAGACTCAGCATACATTCACCTGCAGGCTGCTCTCCTTGCTAACTCGTCAATCGGTGAAAGATCCTCTTCATCCTCCTCCTCTACCTCGTCCTCTACCTCCTCCTCCTGCTCCTGCTCCTCTTCCGCAACCTGCACCACAACCTCCTCCTGCTCCTTCTGCTTTTCCTTCTCCCCCTTTTGCTCCTCGTTTCCTATTATTCTACTATTGAATTCTCCCGCAGCCGAAGCCGCCTACCTCAAAGCCAAGCTCCTCTTCCAGCTCGTGCAAGGTCGATCCCTTCTCCTGCTGCTACTCCTCGTCCTCCTCCTCCTCCTCCTCCTCCTCCTCCTCCTTTCTCCTCCTCCTCTGATGCTTGCCTTCAGGTAATCATCTAGCTCTTGCGACACTAGAGGAGCAGGAAGAGGCAAAGCAGCAGCAGCAGCAGCCGGAGCAAGAGCAGGAATCAAGTGTGGTGGGGGTTTCGATAGCAGGAGACAAGCAGACTCGCCTCCTCCTGGGCTCTCACCCTGCCATCTGCTCGTCGGTCATGAAGGAGATGAGGAGGAAGAGGCTCAGCGTGCGAGCGCTGCTCTCACACGTCGTGTCGCTCCTAGAAGGGAACGCGGTGAGGGAGAGGCAGGAGGAGCAGCAGAGAAGAGACGCGGGGGGAGGGGGGGGGGAGGAGAGGGGGAGAAGGAGGTCAGGAGCTGAAGGGAACATGGCAGGAGAAGCTGGGACAGGCGGGGGAGCAGGCAGAAGCTTTCCTCCTACTGGGTGAGCTGAGCACTAGCTCTACTCCTCCCTCTGACGTGCAGCAGCGAGGACGCACATCGCGATCTCGATGCTGCAGCAGGAGAAGTCGAGGAGGAAAGAGGAGGAAGGCCTGCAGGAGGCGAGGAAAGCAGCTGAAGATGGGCTGAAGAAGCAGCTGCACCATCCGGATCTCCTCCTCCTCCTTGGAGAAGGTACCCTGACTCGTCCTCCTCCTCCCTGCTGCCTTCCTTGTGTTCATGGTCGTCTGCTGCACTACCTCCTCCTAACTCAACCTGTACAACAACAACCCCCCCCGTGCTCTTTCCTCCCCCTTTCCTTCCATCTCCTCGTCTTCTCGGTTATCTCAGCGTCTGCCATGCTCACTCTTCGCTCCTCCTTGTTTCCAGTCCTTCGAACTCTCGGAGAGTCGCTCCCGCGTGCTCGACAACTCCTCCGGTTGGACTTCTGCTCTCAATCATCATCACCAACAACAACCATTACAACAACAATTACTTCTCCTCCTCCTCCTCCTCCACCTCCACCTCCTCCTCCTCCTCCTCCTCCTCCTCCTCCTCCTCCTCCTTCCCCCCCCCCCTCTCTTCCTTACTCCTCCTCCTCATCGTCTTCTTTCCTCTCATCATCATTATTATCATCATAATCTCCTTCTTATCTTCTTCTTCATCATCGTATCGACAGGCGGCCTGGCAGCTGAAGTCAGCAGATCTTACCATCGCTTTCAAGTGCGTACGCAGGCCATTCGCTGCCCCAAACCTTAGAAACCTCCCTTTCTCTCCTCATAATCATTCATCTCTTCCTCCTCCTCCTCCTCCTCCTCCTCCTCCTCCTCCTCCTCTTCCTCCTCCTCCTCCTCTGTTGTATTCCTCGTTACGTCTCTCCTGCATGATGTTCTTTTCTGCTTTCTTTCCGCCTTTGTTTTCGTTGTCCTCATCATCATCTCCATCATTATCATCACTTCTTATCATCTCCTCTTCTGCCCATCACTTCTTCCCTTCCCTCCTCACTTCTCTCAGGTACGCAAGAGCAGAACAAGACGCGCAGCATGCGGACATCGTCGAGGTTCCACTTCTTCCTACAGCTCGAGTCTGATCGCTGCCAGCAGGAAGTCTGCCGTCCTCTCCTCCTTGCTCCTCCTCCTCCCTCCCCATCGTCCAAGAGATCCTTCGCCCAGCTAGCATGCCTCTACGCTCAGACGCTTGCAAGTGAGTGCGAGGAGGAAGAGGAGGAGCAGGAGGAGGAGTTGATATGTTGTTGCAGAGAGGAACGAGCTGAAACTTGCTGCGAGATACTTCGAACAGGCAGGAGGACTGATCCCTCCCTTCCACACGCCTCCTTTGTCAATCATCTCCTCTTCATCTTCTTTCAACTTTCGCCTCTGTCATCCCTCTTCCCCTCTCTTGGCTCTTCCTCTCCCTCCTCCCTCCTCCCTTTCCACTCTCCACTCCCCACTCCCCCTCCCTCCTCTCGCTACCTCCCCCTCCCTCCTCTCGCTATCTCACTGCTCTCTCAGGCCATAAAGTATCATCCTCTGTTTCCCCGAGCCATCTTGGGCTTCGCTTGTGCGGTTTCCGAAAGTGAGACAAGAGGGAGGAGAGAGAAGCGTAGCGAGGGGGAAGAAGAGGAGGAGGGAGAGGTAGGAGGAGGAGGAGGAGGAGGAGGAGCAGGAGGAGGAGGAGGAGCAGCAGCAGCAGCAAGCACGAAATGCAAGCGGGAGGTGGGGTGCAGGAGCAGGAGCAGGGAGGGGTGAGACAGGGGAAGGAAGAGCAGGAGCAGGAAGGAGCGAAGGAGAAGAAGGAAGACGGGAGGAAGAGAGGAGGAAGAGGATTTCGAGAGTCTCTCAAACTCTTGCAGATCCAGTCCGCGACAGCAAGGGGGCGAAGGGGAAGCAGCGAGGTGGGGAGGACAGACCGAGAGGAAGAGACGGGAAGGGGAAGGGGGAGGAGGGTGGGGGGGAAGCTCTGAGAAAGAAGCGGGAGAAAGCGCGGGAGCTGTTCGAGAGAAGTGTGAAGGAGGTGAAGTTGGAACCAGAATGTGGAGAGTCTGACGACGATCAGGCGGAGGAGAGGGGAAGCAACAAGACGAAGAGCGACATCTATACATCGTCTGTGACCTGAATCCTCCTCCTTCATCCCCTCCCCCCCTGCCATCCTTCCTGCGTCCATCCTCCCCCCCTCCTCCTTGTTTCTCCCTTCTCTCCACTCCTTACCTTGGGTTTCAGTTATGCTCACTGGAATCACTATTACCTCGACAAGCCGTCTGAAGCTGCTGAGCTTCTGGTATCTAACTGCCCTCCTGCTCCTCCTCCCCTCTGCTCTCCTCTTCTACATTCCTCCTCCCCTCTGCTCTCCTCTTCTACATTCCTCCTCCCCTCTGCTCTCCTCTTCTACATTCCTCCTCCCCTCTGCTCTCCTCTTCTACATTCCTCCTCCCCTCTGCTCTCCTCTTCTACATTCCTCCTCCCCTCTGCTCTCCTCTACTATATTCCTCCTCCCCTCTGCCCTCCTCTACATTCCTCCTCTTCTCCCTCTTCTCCCTCTTCTCCCCCCCCCCCCTCTCCTCCTCGTAGCAATTCCCTGCACTCCTCTCCTCTCCTCACGCACCTTCTCTAGGACAAGGCTATTCTCTACAACCCTTCCAACACTCCTGCTGGACTTCACCGCCGTCTCCTCCAGGTCAAGTGGCAGACCTGCTGGGGCATAGCTCACCTCTACCCCAGCTGACGGACACCTCATCTCCCAACCTCATAGCTGGGCAGGAGGAGGAGGAGGAGCTGAAGCTCGAGGAGCTGGAGAGAGAGTATCCGGGGCTACGCGACAAGAGTCTGCTACAGGATTTCATCAAGATAGTGGAGAAGGTGAACAAAGACCTCCTCCCACCCTCCCCTCCTCCCTCCCCTCCCCTCCCCTCCCCTCCCCTCCCCTCCCCTCCCCTCCCCTCCCCCTCCCCTCCCCCTCCCCTCCCCCTCCCCTCTCCCTCCCCTCTCTTCTCCCCCTCACTGCTTGACGCTCTCACATCAGTCTCGAGCATCTTCGGCCGCCAACATCGCGGCAAGTGACAATGGCGACCTGCCGCCTACGTCTGCGGGCGCAGGAGCAGAGGGAGGGACAGGGCAGAAGAGGAAGCGAATATTCGACTGGCAGGGGCCGGGCATGTAACCCTCGTAAACCGCCTGCCTGTTCCTCTCCTCCTGCACATGGCGCGATGACACTCAATACCGTCCACTGCATGGACAGAGCACGAACGTTGAGAGGCAGAGTCAGAGCAGGAGCAGGAGCAGGAGCAGGAGCAGGAGCAGGAGCAGGAGCAGGAGCAGGAGCAGAAGGGAGATTGGAAGGGAGGACGGGGGCAACAAGCTATGAAGCGAGGGATATCTTGACGGGCACATGTGCGTTGCAATCCTTGTATTGACATTGCATTCAAGTATAAAACAAGCCAGCATGGAGTTCTCACACAGTGCGTATATGACTGCAGATAGTAAGAGATTTGCCCCAACGAAAGAACAACCTTTGAAAAGTTGTTGTGGTAGCTCTACGGTGTGAAGATGAGAAAGAGAAGAAACACGAGAGAAGAAAAACGAAGAAGAGAAGATGCGGGCAGCAGGAAGCGGAAAGAAGTCAGTGGCAGGAAAAATTCAAGAGGTAAGAACCAAATGCAGAGCTGGCTGGCAACGGGAGGGTTAGAAATAAAGGGAGAGAATGGTAGGAGGGAGGGAGAGATAGGCGAGAGGAAGAGAGAGGAAGGGACGGGAAAACAAGAGAGGAAGAGGAAGGTGAAGAAGGGACGGGAAGACAATCAAGAGGAAGGGAAGGTGAAGGGAGGAGGAGGGGGAATGTACTGGGGAATGTAGAGAAAACTTGGGGAACAACCCCTACCTACCCATGCAAACTAGAACGAGGGGGTACCACAAGAATACTATATATAAAGTAGGGGTCTATGCATATACATGTCAAGGTGGCCGAGCGGTCTAAGGCGGTGGCTTCAGGTGCCATTCTGTTTCGGCAGGCGCGGGTTCGAATCCCGTCCTTGACAGTCTTTTGCTCCACCGACCTGTTCCTTCTCCTCTGACCTTCACTCAATAATGTTAAGTTAAAAATCAGTACGAGCCCCTCGCTGGACTCCAGTGACCCGGCGAACTCAGTAACACTTACTGAGACTCAGGCCTTCCGAACGGTAAGGTCGGGCCCGATAACCGGCCCGGCCCGTGACCGGGCTGATAACGACAATCGTACGTCGGAGACTGGCCGCACACTGCGGCAGTGTTTTTTTAATTTAGCTTTAATAAGACTAGTCCTCAGTACTATGATCATGTAGTATGGCCGGTGACCCGGCGGGCCGCCACCGACCGAGACCAGACCGTCGGACTCCCCAGGGGACCCGGTGACCGGCCCGGCCCGGCGGCGTCAGGCACTGCAACTTTGTGATCTGAATGCCATTGCATTCAAGTTCAAGTTACAGTCACGTTCTGCCTTGAGACTCAGTCGACAAGTTAGCCGCCTGTATTAGGAGAACGAGCCTGCCTCGGCATGATTTACTGTCTCAGGTTCAAAAGCCTCGAGTTCCCCTAGTCTTAATCTGCTGCCCTCTGTCGGGCCGCCCGATGGCCTCAGAGAGTGAGGAGGCGCCATGCGGGAAGGGAAGGGAGGGGAAGAAGGATGAGGAGGAGGTAAGCTGGTGAGAAGGAGAAGCAAGCTTGAGACGAGAGCATGCAAGGTCACGGTCTCTCCTCATCTTCTTCGCCTCGTGCGACGCTCTCCCCGTCCCTTGCATGCTGTTGACCAAGTAGGAGCAAAACCGTGCGGCTGCCATGACGTCGGTAGGCGACGACGGAGAGAGCCAAGTGAAGGCAGACTTCGTTGCTGTCAGCACAGCAGACGATGAGACCAGAGCGTCTAGCGATGTTCACCTGTCGTTTCATAGAGAAAGGATCCAGTGGCATCGGGAGCTGATAGAGAAGTTGAAGTTGGATGAAGCTGCTGACGCTCTCAACTCCAATATCAGCCGCACCTTCAACCAGACCAAGGATGACATCGTCGGCATCCTCCGCCGCTTTGACCTCTCCTCCCGCGACAAGTCAGGGGGCGAGGAGAACGGCTTGATGGACGGCAAGAACCAGCGAGTACTGAAAGAAGCGCAGGATCTGGTGGAGAAGACATACGGGCTTGAGAAGGGTCCCACGGTAAGAAGCTGCTAGGAGAGAGAGGATGCTGACTGTGAGCTGCAGCTGCTGCTCAAGTGCATCGATGGGATGGACGGGAAGTTGAAGTCGAAAGACATCGTCGTGCAGTGGGATGACTCCTGGGAGATGATCCTTCAGAAGCTGAAGCGAGCGTTCAAGCGCGACGTGATCTTCGAGTACGAGGTGGACGGCAGGATAGTGCGAGTGCAGGACGACGAAGCGTTCGATCGAGCCATGGAGCTGGCGGAGAGCAGCGGGGGGAAGCTCTACGGGGTGATCCAGCAGGCCATGTGGAAGAATCCGATCATCGAAGACCCGGAGCCTGACGAGCCGGAGCCCGAGGAAGAGCCTCTTCTCATCACCTGCTCCGACAGGATGGCGTACAACCCTGCTCCTTACAAGTTCCTGCTCGGCCTCGGCGGCTTCGGACTCGCTGCCTGCGTCGTCGCGTGCCTGGTCGGCTACCTTGTGCTGGGAGGTCCAGGGCCATACCTGGGGGCGGTAAGCTGAGGGAGTTTGACCGAGCATGTCTGAGATTGAGCCCGCAGATCTCGGGGACGATCCCGCTGCAGTTCTTCGTGCAGTCGTTCATCATCTCCAACTCCGACAGCCTCCCGTTCGTTGCCGCCAAGTCCGTGGTCGCCATCGCAGGGGCCGTCATGGGATGCCTGAGCCTCAAGGCCTTCATAGAGGCCTCCATCATGGAGGGCGCTATCGCCGCCGCTCTGTGCGTGTGCTCGACTCTGTTTCTCCTCTACGTGCTGTCGCCTCTGGTGTTCAAGTTTGTTCAGAACTCTCAGACGCACAACAAGCGCAAGGCAAGGGGGCGGAGAAGGAAGCAGCAGCGCAGGCTGCGAGATATCCCCCTCATGGTCGCAGGGCTGCTGAGAAAGTTCTCGTCGCTCCTGCTGTACGTGGCGATCCTCGGCCTCCTGCAGTATCTCCCCATGTACCACATCTCCAACGTGGTTGCCGCCAACAAGCAGTACTCCGCCATGGGCGCCATGTACGCGAGGGGCGACGGGAAGGACAACCATGTCTACTGCTCGGGCTATACCGACCCGGCTGTCGTCATCGACGACAAGCCCGCGGTCATCTTCGAGTCCATGGAGGGCTTCGGGCAGGCGCTTGCGGTCTCGGAGATCATGTCCAAGATCGCGCGCATCGGCATCGCCTGCGCGTATGACCGGGCCGGGTTCGGTTGGAGCCCCCCCACCAACATGTCCAGGACTCCCTCGCAGATCGCGTCGGAGCTGGCCTACATGCTCACAAAGAACAACATCTACGTCACCGTCCCTCCGCGCACCGGGCAGTCCAGCAGCCTGATCCTTAAGGTGAACGTGCCTGTGGTGCTGGTTGGTCACTCGGTCGGAGCCTTCTACGTTCGAGCCTTCGCTCAGCTGTACCCCCAGTACACGGCAGCCATGGTGATCTGGGATGGTCTTCCCTCAGAGGACGAGACGCTGACGACAAAGTTCGTCTCGTCAGCCATGAAGGTTCTCTCCCCCACCAAGCTTCAGCTCTGCTACTACTACCTTGAGCCCATGGGCCTCGCCGACCTCTTCCTCAAGAGCGTCATCTACACCCCCCTCCTCAACGGAACTTACCTGGACCAGCCCCAGCCCGCGGGGATCGGCGAGAACTACCAGCGCATGTTGGCGAGGATGATCAGCTGGCCCTGGTGCGACGCGGTCTACAAGGAGTACATCGACTTGTACTTCGGCCCCAGCCCGGGCATCGCGTTCGTGTACGCGGGAGATGCTGCCAAGTACGACATACCGATGGTCGTGTGGTCGCGATACAACTCGGTCTACCAGAACATGCTCAACGTGGTGGATGACGTCAAGTACACCATCGGCGGTCAAGACGCTTGTCTGCAGGAGAACACCAACATCCAGAACCCTGCCGTCAACCATCCGGAGGGGACGAAGGGATGGCAGTGCGTTCAGTTCCACATCCTCTCCTACTCCAAGAAGCCCTTCCTCAACCCCAACAAGAGGACGTGCTTCGTCAAGGGAAAGCCGGAGCTCGGCAACAACAACCCGTGCCCGGACATCTACAGGTCCATGTACAACGGCACCGAGCTCGCTCCCATGCAGGGGACCATGGTGCAGGCAGAGCTTGTCGACACCATCCTCAACGCCTGGCAGATGCTCAACTACACCGCCAACTTTCCCTCCACCCCGTTCGCTCTCGTCTTCCAAGGCTTCTCCCCGCAGCAGCTCTCGCCTCCGGGCTGCGTCATCTCCATCGACAACTTCAGGTCGGTGATCAAGCAGAAGCTCATCGCCGTGCTGGGCCTCAGGTTCGAGGGCCTCGCTCAGATCGAGCTCATCGAGGGTCCGACTGCTTGCCCGCGCTACATCTCCCGACCCGGCTCAGGCCTCGTGCTCGGCCAGATCATCCCCGGCGAATGCCCCGCGACAATCTGCTACGACCTGAGCGTGTGCTCGACGCCATGGACGAGCGCGAGGAACATCGCGAGGAGGAAGACTGGGAACGTCAGCATGACTCCCTCCTCGAGCGAGGAGATCGAGTTGCAGAACATCTACGCTGAGCACTACATGGGCGCGGAGGGAGGAGACGGGGTAGTGCATCTGGACGCGTTTGCTGAGATGGCGTTCTTCGTTCTCTTTAGGATCGTCGGGTTCAAGAACATCGTCGTGCAAAATGCCGCCAACGTTCTCTTGTGCCCCAGCACTGAATGTGACCAGCTGCCCCTCGACCCGCGAGAGGCCACGGGAGTCTCTCCCAACACAACCCAAGTGAGGGCTGAGGAGCTCAACCGCCGGAACGCCTTCTACACACAGTGATGAGCTAGCAGCCTGCCTGTTGCCCAGCTGACGAGCCTGTGCAGGTACAATGTGACCACGATCCTGTCGAGCGAGAGGACACTCTCGAGCAACACCTGGAAGGTGATCTCCAACGCGCTGCTGCCCTCCTGCCCGGAGAATACCTACGTGTATGGCGGGGGATGTCGCCAGTGCCCTGCCAACTCCACATCGCCGGCAGGGTCGGTGAGTGAGACTGCGTGTGTGTGCGACCGCAACTACTACATGAACCTCGTCGACTCCGAGTACGTCTGCATCCACTGCCCCGACAACATGCAGAGCGTCCAAGCCAGCACCGCCATCACCGACTGCAAGTGCAACCCGGGATACACGGGCCCGGATGGCGTCGCCTGCACTCCCTGCCCAGTCAACACGTACAAGGCAGTGGTGAGGACGAGAGGCGATGTCGTCGTGCTCTTCACCTCTGACCTCTTCCCAGCTCGGAGACTTTCCTTGCACCTACTGCAATGCCTCCAACGTCGGCTGCCCCACCCGGCGTTCAAAGCCACTGCAGCAGAGAAGGAGGCGCTGGTGTGCTGAGGAGCTGCTGAGGGTCTCGAGGAGCTGACGTGTCGCTCTCCTGCAGGTGAACTGCCATGCTGCCGCCGTCTCAGCTCCCGGATCGACGCCGGGGATGCCGGGGAAGGTGATACATCCCATCTTCGGGGAGATCCAGATGAACAACAGTGAGCCCTCGCCCTCCAGCTGATTCCCAGCTCCCTCCTCACCTTCTCGCAGCCTTCGGCACCAACTGCTCCTACGCCGCCCCGTCCCTGGAGGTCTGCACAAACTTCTCAGGTCTGAGCCGGCACCCGGAGTCGACCTTCTCCCAGTTCAACTGCACCTACGGCCCCGTGAACGTGAGCACCTGCTGCCTGCACGCTTGCTGGTCAGTGACCCTCGTGCAGAGCGAAATGGTCACGATCGGGTCCTTCAACAACCGCAAGGTCAACATGCAGTATTGTATCTTCCTGGGTCAGCCGCCTGATCAGTCCTGCAAGGTGAGGCAAACAACCCCATCCCTCTGCTCACTCCCCAGCAGGCCTTTGGAAACGTCTCCCTTCAGCGATGGCCTGTGACGACCAGCTGCGTTCCGGTGATTGATGCGAGCTTGTCTGCCCTCCCTCTCTCCAGCCCCTCCCATTACTCCCTTCCTCCCTCCCTCCCTCCCTCCCCTCCCTCCCCTCCCTCCCTCCCTCCCTCCCTCCCTCCCTCCCGCATGCTGCGTTTGCTTTGTTTAATGCAGATGATATTCTTCCCCTCCCTCCCCTTCCCTCCTTCCCTTCACTCTCTTCCTTACCTTCTTCTAGTGCTTCGCGCTGTCGGGGAGCCCCCAGTGCTGCTTCCTGGAGCACCTGGTCAGGCCCTGCTCGCCGGCATACCCGGGCGGGTCTCCCGGACACTGTGTGGAGGTAGGAGCAGAGATTCCCAAGGACCCGGTAGGTCTCGAAAGACGGGGAGAGCGAGGGTGACATGGCCGGCAGGCTCTTGTACAACTTTGTTCAACGACATGACGACGGTAAAGCAAGCAAGTGAGGAAACATCTGAGAGTGAGAGGAGAAGAGGAGAACAGCAGGATGTCAAACGGCTATGATGTCAAGAGCAAACCAACGTTGAGCAACAGTCGCTCCCAAGTTCTTCCGCCGCCATGACCTCATCGCGCCGCTCTGAAGCCATGAGCCAGGGCGTGAGAGGCCTCGCCCGTCATGATTGATCACCTGAAACAAGTGAGAGTAGGACACTGACAAGCTGATCAAAGCAGAAGCGCTTCTCTGCTAGGTTTGACTCACATCTTGAAAATTCAGTTTGAGGTCAAACCCAAGACCAGATTAGGAAAGAAAGATTCAAGGATTGACTTGATTTTATTGAGGTGACAAGCTAGAATACATTCCATCAGCATCGACAAGCTTTCTTTATCAGTACAAACCCTTGTCATCTTGATCTCACCAACTTTGCGCGTGCTCGGCTGTCAAGAAGCCCTCGATGGAGTCCTACTGGAGACTCATGTTTCACGATGTGTCAGCTTATATGCAACTTGTTCAAAGGCCTGCACAAGCTCGACCCCGTCCACCTGCTGTCACCCCTCACTTCAGTCGTGTCTTACCACAGACGTCAAACTCACTGCTTTCAGAAAGCTGCCGCCTCCAAGTTGAGCCAAGGCCTTCAGTTTATCGACCTGCGCCCTTGTGCCGAAAGCAAGAGTATGAACTTTCATCTTCTCGCCGAATTCATCGTAGATCTCCTGAACAATGAAGAAGATGAGATGTCAACACCAAAGTTGTTGAGGTCTTACCTTCATTTCCACCTCTCCATCATGTGATTGTCCGTCAGACATCAAGAGCAGGAATTGGTGATGCTTTTTGAGATTCTTTGCCTTCCGCAACACAGTTTGAGCACCTTGCAGTGCTTGAGCAAACGAGGTTCCTCCATCTGGCGTGACTGATTCCAGCAGCGACTGAGGCGTCCTGAGGACCCGCTGAACTTGTCTGAGAGAGGTGAGGACGAGGCTCAGGCAGTAGAGAATCATCGAGATGAGAACGATAGACAAGGAAATCACGTGCTCTAACTTGAGGTCTGAGCTCTCAAAGCTGAACTCCAACCCCATCTATGACTTGATCGTTTCCACGATCAGGTCCTCGTATTTTCCTATTGCAGCCACTTTTTCGCAACTGATTGTCACAGAAACGACAACAGAAATAAGATTTCTTGAATTGCTCTTCGCCATGATCTCGACGAAACCGTTAACAGCTTGTTTCAGATCTTTCCATGGCTCCCCTTGCATTGATCCGGATCTATCAAGTACGAGGATGCAGTGATGGAGACAATCCTGGCTTTCTTCTCCTTGCATTGATCCTTGCGAAATCTCAAGAACAATTGTTTAGCGATGTCATTCATATTGCTTTGAACATGTTTCAAAACCTCCATTGTGCGTTGAAGTTTTGTGATTCCGTCATCATGCCTGCTCGACAATCTCTCGTACTTTCTTTTCAAAACTTCATTTCTCTTGCGAGTGAGATAAGCATCCCAATCCAAGCCAGAAGCACTTTGATCAACTTGACTAGCTTTCATACTCGACTTGAGATTGTTCTCAAAAAGAATCATCTGACAAGATCCTGGATCATCCTGCCGACATGTACGACCATAGATTTGCTTCTTCTCTGAATCATCTTCTGGCAAGAAGGTAACAACAACATGTACGCCCCCATTCTTTACAAGGCCCTGATTTGCACACATAAAATCTGTGCCCCTACAGTGAGATCTAGTCATCAAAGCCTTCAAGATGTTCGCCTGCCTCTCTTCATCTCGTCTGAGAGGATGTAGTATCCCTTGTGCTGCGGCAGATTTGGCTTCTGGATGTTCAGCTCTGTGGCGAATTGTTTCAGCAAATCACTGTCGTGGAAGATGATAAGCATTGCTCTCTGAAGCTTGAGCATGTCTACGATTTCACTCCGAACTCGCAAGAAAAACTCGTCCCAGCTCCCGTGAACGACTTCCAAGCTTCCACGTTGAATTTGCTTCTTGTTCAAAGTGGACGGCAAGAATGTTCGATGCTCGAAGGCATACTCCTGTAGCAACTGGAATTGAGCGTGGGAAAGACAATCCAACGTTCCCGTCATTCCGAGACAGAAGGCGTAACCATTGGGAATTTGAGAATAGAGCAACTCTCCGCACACCGGCGAGATGTGAAGCTTGTCCTTGATCTGCTCAAGGCGAAACTGAAGGCTGACATCGCAACAGTACAAGTACGTCAAGGTAGTAACGTATCCTAGCGATACCAACAAGTTGGGAACCCCACTGACGGGGTCGATGTAGCCCAACTTGTTACAAGTCTTGTCCACCACATAGTCAGGGTAGCCAGCAAGCCGAAGCTCATGTCCCATCGGAAACAGCAGGACCGCCTGGAGCAACTTCTTGAAAACCACCTCCAACATGTGTCTAGTTAGATTTGGGAATACCGACAAGAGCAGCTCAGATGCCTGGAGAGAAGAGAGTTTCTTGAGTGCTGCTGCAGCATCATGCAAACGACTTCAATTTCTCCAGACATGCTCAATGATTAAGTAGCCATGTTCCAGGGGGTGAGAACAAAGCTTAAGATCTTGTTGTGGCCGTAATAAAAGTTTGTCTTCTCAAGTTTCATTACAATTAAATGTATCGTATGTATCAATCTCCCGAAGAAAACTTCGCTGAAAAAGATGTCCACTTGGTCCATAAGCAAGATGCAGGGCTTATGGCCATATTTGGTTGCTGGTGAGGTTGTTTTTCTTGCAGAGGAAGCCTAGAAAGTATTTCCTGACATCTGGAATTTCATTTGGAAGACTGCAAATGGTCAAACTCAGAGTATGAGATGTTCTCTTGAACCTCCAACTCGAGAAATGTTTCCCGGATTGCGACTTCGTCCCTTTCTGAGAGATATCTGCTGTAGCATACCACATCAACACAGAAGCCCCGCTTAGCTAGAATGATAGCTGTAAACCCGAGAGCAATGGACTTTCCCTCCCCTGTGTTGATTTGGATCAAACGGTTCTTCATCTTGTCTTGGTCAGAGAAGCCTCAAGATGCCGGGCTGACGGAGCCTTCTCTTCTCCACTCCTTCACTTCCACTCGGGACAGACAGGAACGTCCAGTGGGCGCAGACAAGACCCAGCAATATGCCCAACTCCTCTTCTTGTTGGGCGAGGCTTGAAGCTGATCTTCTTTTTCAGTCAATAAAGTTTGATCTCTTCAGCGACTTGGCAACATCGTCGATCTCCTTGAGAATGAGATATTTGTTCTTGGTGTATTCCTCCTTATCTCGGATGACATCCCTGATCTTATTATCATAGGTCTCTTTGTATGCTTTGTAGCATGTTTGTAACTTGTTTTGATGAGCCAGCTTTGGTTTACAAACCAGTTCTTTCAGAGCATGCTGAAAATCTATTACGCCCGCGTTTTCGTTGAACATCTCGATACTAAACATCTCAAATTGATTGAAGTTGGACAGAATTATTCGAGCATACTCAGTAATTGCTGCTGAGGAACTAGAATCGGATTTTGCAATTCTTTCAGAGCAATTCCAACTCGAAAATTGTTTATGCTAGAAAACTTGCCAAGAATTTCTCCAACGCTCTTGTTGTAGTCTTGAATCATCTCTAGTTCCACACTGATAGCATAACTCTTGATGAGAAGTTTTGCAATTTGCTCTTTCAGTTTCAAAGGTGATTTGATTGTCCTGCAATTGGTCTATCATGCTTCTCATTCTGTCAATGTTCTTCTGGATCTCCTGTATGGCTACAATGGCTACAAAATTGAACAGTTGTTCTCTTGAGTTGTTCGTTGGTTTCCGTCAAATTTGGGAAGGTTGATGCCAGTGAATTGAATGCAAGGCAGAAGAAGGCAAGCTCGTCGGATTGTAAGTACTTTGAGTCATCGATTGCCAGGCTGATTTCATTTATCACCCTCTTTTCTATCTCTTTCATCTCCTGTAGTACGTCGGTCTCCATTTCATGGAGTTCCAGAAAAATGTGCTCCGCAGTTGTTCTTTCAAGAATTTGAACATGCTCAACCTGTCGACCAGTGCAATAAACTGCTTAGCTTGAAGAAATGTATTGATTTCAGCAGAAGTTGCGTTGGCCATTCTTGTTGTGCTCGCCTAGTTTCATGACAATGTCAAGAATAAGTCGTTCAATCTTTTTGCAATTTCTCTGCCTGAGCTTCACCATGGCTCTCTCTCGCATCTGAGAGATCGTGTCTAACAATTCCTCTCTCCTTGTCTGCTCTCCATCGCGATTGTCAAGATGATTGCATCTCTGCATGCTTGTTTTGATGAGCAAATTCTTTTATTTTTGAAAACAGTATTTTTGAAAACAAAACAGTTTGAATGGGCAAACTTGCAACCTGTGGTCATAAACAAACTGTGAGACATTTCTTGTACTGCCAAACAAAAGATCAATTACCTTGGGAGCATCATCCATTTGGATTTCTCTTGTACAAAAAGGAAGGTAGTCACGATCGATGAGTTTTTTAGGTTCACTCTTAAAGTTTTCAAACTTTTTGTCGAAATCGTTTTCAAGATGCTTTCGTATGGAAAGGGGGATAGTTTTACTGACAAGATCAGCAACCTGTCTCTTGTAGTCTATCACATCTCATTGGAGCATTGTAGAATTGAAGTCCATTTTCTGCAAGATGGTTCTCACCTGAGATGTGCGAGCCTGTGAAAACACATCACGTTCAAACAAATCAAGTTTGACAATTCTCAAGGTTTCAAAAGTGTGGACGTCTTGTGACACTTTCTCACAATTGCCTTCCAGCATAGCTGCCTCAACTTGCTGTGAAATGTGGGCTGCTCTCGCTGCTAAATGTGACAAATCATTGTCAGAGAGTGGCGTCTGAAATGTGTCTGGATTGACATCTACAAACTTGAGTTGAGTCAATTTGAATATCAACTCTTCCCGATATATTCCTTCTGGATGCCGATTGAGAGGATCAAAGATCTGAATTAAGTTCAGCCAATCTAGATTTTCTCTCCTGGCTCCTTCCACTATCATGGTTCTGGAGAACATGAGTTCGCCACTTGGCATAGCACTGAACAACTTGATCAGAATCCTGATGGTCTCTTGCAAGAAAGCTCCCCTCCCGGGATTCAAGGGCGAGGATCGAGAGACCGCCATATTTGGACATTCGCATCAGCTCGAACATGTTAACGGCATTCACAATCTTCACTTCTGGGCCATTCGTGTCTGCAAAACCAGGCGCGTCGATGCAGCGTAGAAGTCTCGGAGGTTCCGTAGTGATGCTAAACAGTTGGTGAGAGTGCTCTTTCCACTTCCCAACATTGCGTTTCTCCTTCATGCGACCTGGAATACCTGATCTTCTATTTGAAAGAAGACTTTGTATTCGTTTGATGCTGTGTTCAATGCAGTCTTGATTGCTGATCGTTGTTGAGCCATTCGTTTCACAATTCTTTGACGTTTCGACCGGTACCTGCTCTTCATCTACATCCTGACGCATACAAGTCACAGCCTTTCGTTCACTTAATGTTTAGCTTACCATTTTCATGAATTCCAAACTGCCAGCTACCGAGCTACATTCATCGTCGGCCGCAGTGTGGTGATCGGAGAAACTACTTGATCTTATATCTGCATAAAACAACATGTCAAAACACAAACAAAGCGAGCAAACAAAGCAAGAAGTCCAGGACAACACACACAGCGATCATAGAATGCGAGCGTTCAAGGCTATCGCCATATGCATTTCAGTGCGGTCGCTCGAGCGGCATCGCAAGACTTATCCAATCACTGTCAACCGCGATCATCCACCCCCCCCTCATTGCTGCAGCACTGGGGGGACAGAGGGGGTGGTTTGAATGCCTCTGAGCTGGGCAATCGCTAACACCACCCATGAATACCACCCCCCCCCCATCCTGCTTTTTGTACAGCTCTCCTTTCCCTGCGCTGGCAGATAGGCTCTACAAGCCCACCTCAGAGTAATATTTTAGATAAGAGAAAAGGCAGCAGGGCCGGCAAACTCAGGGTTATGCCCTACAGTAGTAGTAGAGTTATTACTGAGGGCAATGCCCGATCTGACCCTCGTCCCCACTCTGCCCCTGAGTCGTTTTGGCGCCCAGTTTGCAGTTTGGCGCCAAAAGACTCCCACAAACTCTGCGAGCGAACATGGTTCCTGCGATGATGGAGAGAATGGGTGGGAGGGAGGGAAAAGAGAAGAGGACATGGAGGAGGGATGATAGAAGGAGAGATTTAAAGAAAGGAGGATGGAGAAGGGAAGGCGACGTAAGATTGAGTATGTCGTAAAAGTTATTCCTTGGATCCATGCCAAGTTCATAACTGCATTTTTCGCAGATGAAAGAAGAATTGACCGAATTTCTGGTTTTGCCAAGTAAATCGAACAGGAAATTGTTCCTCCAAAAAATTTCCGAAACCGTTCAGCTGGAAGAAAGCAGAAGACCTGCATTGAACTTAGCATCTGCCAAGGCTTTGCTGCAGTTTTTCGAAGATGTGTGTTAACAAACAAGATTGCATTCTTCACTGTTTTTGAATTGATTGCAGGAGTCAAAAAAAGCAAATTTTGACAGTTTTCGTTCAGTTATGACCCTAATTTACGAGTATGCAATTCCTGAGGTAACTGTATTCACGCAAATCGATTGCTGCTAACACCATTTCCTACATAGGAGGACTCGAACTCAGCAATGTTGTCCGTATCGACATTGAACTCAGCGCAACTCAACAAGACTGTTGGAGTTGCATACAAAAACTTGATGAAGAATAATTTGAGCAAGCCGGAACCTGAAGAGGCAGCACTGCAAGCAATACTATCTTTGTTAAAAATGATTGCTTCGTTGACTGAGAATGACATTTGCTGTGCGTTGCTTCTGAATTCTTGGCGACTTGGCAGTGACTTGTTTTTCTGACAGCTAGCTCATCTACCGCCATGGAGTGTATGACAATGATCCATAACGATTGGATAAAGCGAGATTGTTCGTTCGACGTGCGATATACCGCTTTCGATGTCTTAGGAGCATTTGCCAAAAACGTAAGTGGTTATCTCATCTGGAATTGATGACACCTCCCTTCACAGCCTGAAAATGTCAAGCTTTATTGCTCTCCACCTCGTGAAGCTGAAACGAAAATCTTCGAAATTCTTAATGGTGCAATCGACAGGTTGAATGAATTGCGCAAAGTGGATTTTGTCTCATGATCTTTCCCATTTACAGCTCTTTGCCAGTATGCGAAGCAGCCCTCAGTTGCTTGTATTCCATTTTTGAGATATTGGACAAAGATACGCTGTCAAAGGTGAATCCGGTTTTGGAATCGTTCACCAAGTGGGTAGCGGGGCGGGAGAAAAACTCTGTTTCGTGTTTTTCTGTGGACAATATTCGAAATACTTTCATGGGATGGGAAGATAAACAAAATGTCAAGGCAGCTGCAAAACTTTTATTTAAGGCAATGAACAAAACATATGAGGAAATACAAGCAAAGAGCATAGGTACTTTCAGTTGGATTTGATATCGAGTTTGTGATGTAGCTTTTGCGTGCAGTTGTCGGCGACATAGAGTATTTTGCTTCCGAGGTCTCAATCAAGCGATTACGAATGATCAGAATCTGATTCTGTTGACAGGAAAAATTGTATATCACGTCCGAAAACCTCTCAGTCTGGCTGAGTCCTGACAGAGATGATGATGGAGTAAGATTGCCTGATTTGTGTGATATAGGCTGAATAAGCTCCAGACAAATTCATCAATAATGCATGTATCCCTTGATCAAATTTCTGCCGCAAACAGAATGGGAAACAAGAATTCTTTCTCTATCAAATTGCATTTGTTGAAAGACCTCCAAAACTGCTTTGGGCAGAATAAAGTGAAGAAGAATGAGGTGAATTTTGAAGATACATGCTTTGCACTGACGTGCTATTCAGATAATCATTCATATGCGAGATGATGATAGTATCGAATCCTTTTTATGCCTCATGCCATTTGCAGAAGCTTGTAACATAACACGCTCCCAAGAATCAAAATCGACGCGTTGTGGCATACGCTAAATATTTGCAAAGTGCACATTTGATTCCATCCTTGCAGACATTGCTATCATGGACAATCATGGCAATATCGTTCTTCCACCTCCATCAGCTCTGAGTGAGAACATCAAAACATCTGAGGCCCATACTGGGCCAACAGGTTTGCAGAGATGCTTGAGCAACAGAAATAGAACTTACCTATGGTTTGAAACGTACAGATTCATCGGCCCTGCAGCATGAACTCGATCACAACTATGAACATGGTATGACGGTAATCTTTTTGTCTATCATCAAGTGAGAGAGCATGTCAGGGGGAGAAGCTCTCTGCACACCCACAGAATTGATCGAGCAGCATAACTCTTCTCGAAATGTAATTTCCTCTGAGAGAAGCCAATCCAGCCAAAGCCATGCCAAATCGTCTCAGTCCACTTCATCTGAAGAGAAGGAATGTCATATCAGATCAAAAACTCCAAAGAGGTCCAATGAACAAGGTGAGTTCTTTGCTTTGCCACATTGCAAAATTGATGTTGTTGTGCCAAGATCGGAAGGTGTCCAAAGGTATTTGAAGTACCTCAGGATGACAGCTAATGAAGAAACCAGGTGGAAAGCGAACAGGAAACAAATCTGTAGGGAAAAAGACATCCTCAGATATGAAAGGTAAAGTTTAAGCATAATTTCAGGTGTTGCAAGGCTTTTAATCTTCAGACACAGCTGCAATAATTCAAACGTTTCCACGTCTTCCTCCCGTTGCAAATGATTCTTCAAACAAACAAATGCAAAAAGATCGATATAATTGCACAGGCTCTTCAACAACAAACCCTGTGGAGGACTCTCCTTTTGACAACAGTGACGGTCACAATCAAACGACCCAACTGAGCCCAAGATCATATTCTAGGCCGGTGAAAAGCACCAAAGGAGCTTCGACCAAAGGTTTGCCCTCTGTCGATGCTGGCTGCCCAAGCATAGGCCTGGGTTGACGCCCTGAATAGATAAGGTCTCCAAGAAAGATAACGAGAAGGCTCCGCAAGCAGACAAGCCGCTCGCAAGAGACGAGGAGACATCGAAGGCAGATCCTGCCCCCAGGACCAGCGCCAAAGGAGCTTCGACCAAAGGTTTGCCCTCTGTCGATGCTGGCTGCGACAAGCCGCTCGCAAGAGACGAGGAGACATCGAAGGCAGATCCTGCCCCCAGGACCAGCACCAAAGGAGCTTCGACCAAAGGTTTGCCCTCTGTCGATGCTGGCTGCCCAAGCATAGGCCTGGGTTGACGCCCTGAATAGATAAGGTCTCCAAGAAAGATAACGAGAAGGCTCCGCGAGCTTCGACCAAAGGTTTGCCCTCTGTCGATGCTGGCTGCCCAAGCATAGGCCTGGGTTGACGCCCTGAATAGATAAGGTCTCCAAGAAAGATAACGAGAAGGCTCCGCAAGCAGACAAGCCGCTCGCAAGAGACGAGGAGACATCGAAGGCAGATCCTGCCCCCAGGACCAGCGCCAAAGGAGCTTCGACCAAAGGTTTGCCCTCTGTCGATGCTGGCTGCGACAAGCCGCTCGCAAGAGACGAGGAGACATCGAAGGCAGATCCTGCCCCCAGGACCAGCACCAAAGGAGCTTCGACCAAAGGTTTGCCCTCTGTCGATGCTGGCTGCCCAAGCATAGGCCTGGGTTGACGCCCTGAATAGATAAGGTCTCCAAGAAAGATAACGAGAAGGCTCCGCAAGCAGACAAGCCGCTCGCAAGAGACGAGGAGACATCGAAGGCAGATCCTGCCCCCAGGACCAGCGCCAAAGGAGCTTCGACCAAAGGTTTGCCCTCTGTCGATGCTGGCTGCCCAAGCATAGGCCTGGGTTGACGCCCTGAATAGATAAGGTCCCCAAGAAAGATAACGAGAAGGCTCCGCAAGCAGACAAGCCGCTCGCAAGAGACGAGGAGACATCGAAGGCAGATCCTGCCCCCAGGACCAGCGCCAAAGGAGCTTCGACCAAAGGTTTGCCCTCTGTCGATGCTGGCTGCGACAAGCCGCTCGCAAGAGACGAGGAGACATCGAAGGCAGATCCTGCCCCCAGGACCAGCACCAAAGGAGCTTCGACCAAAGGTTTGCCCTCTGTCGATGCTGGCTGCCCAAGCATAGGCCTGGGTTGACGCCCTGAATAGATAAGGTCCCCAAGAAAGATAACGAGAAGGCTCCGCAAGCAGACAAGCCGCTCGCAAGAGACGAGGAGACATCGAAGGCAGATCCTGCCCCCAGGACCAGCGCCAAAGGAGCTTCGACCAAAGGTTTGCCCTCTGTCGATGCTGGCTGCGACAAGCCGCTCGCAAGAGACGAGGAGACATCGAAGGCAGATCCTGCCCCCAGGACCAGCGCCAAAGGAGCTTCGACCAAAGGTTTGCCCTCTGTCGACACTGGCGAGTCACTCATTGTTGTTGCTCGATTGGTGGTACAGATTGCTTAGAGAAGGGTTCGAATGGAAGATGTTTGATAGATCCCTTTGACATTGATTTTGGTTTGTCACCACCAAAGTCGCTTCGACGTCCGTTTAGGAATAGATTCGGCAATCACAAGCGCTATTCTGATCGCACCACCAAATGGGTTTTCGAGGAAAGCTCTCCGCGGAAGGGGAGTGGAGATGGTTCGCCTCCACAAGATGTGTCACGAAATGACATGTTAGGATCAACGGTGGAAGAATTTGAGGAATCACGCCCAGCGATGAAAGATGCCAAGAATACAATCGAAAAAAACCATCAAGAATTGAGTCGATTGTCCTCTAAGAAGAGGCAAGCATCAGATGATACTTCTCTCAACACTTCTGAGCGGGCAGCCAAGGTCAGCAAAAAGACAAAAGGTTCTGCAGAGAGTGACTCAAAAGTGAAATCAAAAGTACAGCAAAAACCAGTGGACCCATTTGCAAAAACTTTTCAACTCGTATGTCAGTCTGAGACCACGCCAGAAGAGGCAGATCCACATGTCATATCTTCGGATAGTGGAAAGGGACCAAAATCTCAGAAACTCAGCGAGAGTGCAATCAGCAATTTGCGAACATTGCCAAAAAGTCAAACTTCGGACTCAAGTTATCTTAACCAGTATCCTGCGAAAGAAAAGAGGGGGTCTACGATTCAAATAGCAAAGGAGGACGAGAATCTTAGCGAATGTGGTACTCTTTCGTCTTTGGAGAATGATCTCAAGCCCAAAATGCTTCTCTTCAGTCCGCACCACAAGCGCAAGTCATTTGAAGTACAGAACAAAACTCAAAAACGATTGAAAGCAGCGGACGAGCTCATTCGGATTGATGTCAATTCGTTCGACGACGATGATACAGCATCCGATTTTTCACAGAACAACATGTTTGTCGAAAAAGTTGAGGCTCGCATTAAGCTTGCCTTCAGCCAGATGGCAAAGGTAAGTTTTTCACTTCATCTTCGTAGAATCTAATTCGAAATGCCATGTGAAGAGGAAGAGAGAGTCCTTGGCACAAGCCATATTGGGAGAGAAAGATTCAATGTCTCATGAAATTTCTGCCTTTGTTATGGCTTCAAAGGGTAAACTCGACGCAGCACAAAAGAAACATGATTCGGAGAATGGAAGGATTACCGCACGAGGGAAAGAAATCTTGACAACTTTTACAAACGTCTACGAAGAATACAAACGACGAATGATTCACGTTCATCGCACGGTCAAAAGTCTGGCATCAGCCAAGGCGGCACGACGGGAAGTATCCGAAGTGAAGAGAAATGAGTTGTTCGATCAAGCCAAGTCTGGACCTGCCAGCTTGAAGGCTGCATGTATGGCAGAGGTAATGTTCTTCCAGCACTTGCATAAAACGTGTCACGTTGATGATCTGCAGGCGGAGAAGCTCGAGAGGCAAATGGCTGGGGACAAGACAGGCAAGGGAACAGATATCAAGGAGCTCAACAACCTGCTGGGACAACTGTTCCAAACCGACTAGACCCTCATAGTCTTAAGTTTGAAACAGGGACGAGGGCTCACCAACGCCGTGAGACTTCATGAATAGGTTTGAGAACAGAAATTTTGATGGTATAGAGAAGATGATGAAAATGAAGAAGCCCAATGCAACTCCGTCAGTCTGTCCTCTGTTTGCTGTCAAGGCTGCTTGAAGCGTTAGAATCACAAATGGAGACATTGGAAAGGGAAGATACAGACCTCTCTTGGGCTTCCTGCGGTTCTTCCATAGCAGTCTCAGACGATTCTACGCGGTCTGTGAGGGGAGGGTGGGCGGAGGCGGAGGAACCTGTTGACTTGATCGACTGCTCGACGAACTCGGCGATGATGACTCGGAGAGCATGGCAGGGGATGATCTGACGAGACGAGGACGAGGCGCGTGAGCAAGAGGTGGCGGGAGGGAGGGGGAGGAGACCTGACTTCGATTGACTATCTGGTTCGTCTTGGGGGAGGTAGAGTGATGCCTGAGCCAGCGATCTTGTGGAGCAGGTAAGAAGACGAGGAGTGAGGACGGGAGGAGACCTATGGCTGCTCGCTCGTACACGTGACCGTCTGTGAGGATGACTGGATCTCTCATAATCTGCAGGGAAGTGAAAGGGGGTGGGGCGGGAGGAGCATGCGATTACCTCCATGGTGATGGGGCAGAGGTACTCCGTGGGGACCGACAGGCCTCGTTCCTGCATGCGACAGTCAGGTAGAGGTAGGAGAAGGCCTGTCGAAGTTCAGCGACGACGAGGAGGAGGAGAAGCAGAGGAGATGGGGAAAAGGCGGCAAGAAGAGCAGAAGAAGTGCCTCAAGCAGGGTCTTGATCGAGATCTCATTGGCGTCCTCCGCGTCCTCCTTGTCTGGACTGCAAGTCAGGAAAGCAAGCAGACACTTTCATCTCTCACCTGCTGCCTCCGCCTCCTCCCTATGGGGCTGCGGCTCTTCAGCTTCCAACCCGCTCTCTTCCCTCCTCTCCCTCTCCTCCCTCCTCTCCCTCGGCGGCGTGGAGCTCCTGCCTGCTGCACGACCAGGACGAGAGTCTGACGGGAAAAGTCACGGGAAGAGCTGAAGGCGGCAAGGCCGGGAAGAGAAGCGGAGGATGGAAAAGGAAAGAAGAAAATTGGGGCGAGGTATGGGAGAGGGAGAGGGAGAGGGAGAGGGAGAGGGAGAGGGAGAGGGAGAGGGGGAGGGCGAAGGGGGAAGGGGAGGGAGAGGGGAGGAGATGTTGTCTACGAAGGCTCCTTGCCTGTCCTTCTCTCACTCTCTTCCGCATCTTGGGGACCGCACAGTCCCCACACAACGATGGCGAGCTGAAGGGGAAGGAAGATGCTGTCAAGAAGTGCGCTCGCTTTGCTCTTCTTCTCCTCTCCCGTCTCGATCGCAAACTCCTGCTGCACTCCAGCTGACTTGTTGTGTGCGGGGACTGACGTGCTGTTGAGATGGAGAGGCGAAGCGAGGAGAACGAGGCCTCCGCTCTCAAGGAAGGAGCACAACGACAGCTCCGCCGACTGAGATGCTGTGAGGAGACGGGAGGGAATGGGAGAGGGGAGGGCAGAAAGGAGGCAGAAGAGGAGGAGAAAGGGGGGAGTAGAGGAAGGAGAGGGAGTGTCGAGTACCAGGATCAAGCCAAGCAGGATGATAGACCGGATCCCTTGCAACACCGACGAGCCGCTTCCTGCCGCCTCCTCCTCTGCAGCAGCCTCCTCCGAATTGATGAGCCTCCCCCAGCCTCCTCCTCCTCCTGCCACCACCCCCATGTGCTCGCTGCTCCGAATCTGCGGCATCTCAAAGCCCGCGGACCTGCCGGCACGCCAGGAGAGCGGAGGAGCCTGAGAGCGAAGGGCGAGGAGAAGAGAAGCTGCGAGAAGAGGCAGAGGCGCGCAGGTGACGAGCAGGAGCGGCCCGAAGGCTGAAGCCCACGAAAGAGACCCACCCCCCAGATAGGCGACGTCGACCTGAAGCCAGGGGTGAGAAAGGGAGGGAGGGAGGCAGGCAGGGAGGGAGGGAGGGAGGCAGGCAGGGAGGGAGGGAGGGAGGGAGGGAGGGAGGATTGTTCGTGTTCGTGTTACTTGCCATTACTTTGATGATGGCAAAGAGGGAAGCAGAGGAGAGGGCAGCGACGTAAAGGCCCCACCTGATGAGCGTCAGAGCAGGATGGAAGAGATAGAGAAAGTCTCACTTGACGCCATGCTCGCGCTGGCTCTTTGATAAAAGATGGTGCGAAGAGAAGAGAAGGGAAGCAGGAGAGGAGGGGAGGGAAGGGAAGAAGGAGATGATGGGGGGGAAGGGAAGAAGGAAATATCAGAAGACCGTTGACGAGGAGCTGAAGACTCACGGGGGACGGGGGCGCCTCCGACTGAGGAGCCTCGAGATGAGTAGCGAGAGCTGAAGAAAGAAAATGAGAGGGAGAGAAGGAGGGAGGGAAGAGAGAGGGGGGGAGGAGAAGGTAGGAAGAGAGGCGGGGGGAGAGAGGGGGAGAGAGATGGTGGGGGTGCAAGAGTTTGTACCTGTCATAGCAGAGACAAGAAGGCAGAAGAAAGAGACAGCGAGAGGAACGAGCAGCTGCGAGCACATCAGGCTTGTCAGTTGCTGGTGCCATCGACCTCCCACTCCTCGCCCGGCCTGATGAAGTGAATCTGAAGCTGCAGCCCAACCTACAGAATGCTGACAAGGTGGAAGGCAGGAGAGGAAGAGGAGAGGAGGAGGAAAGACATGGGGGAAGCGAGAAGGAGAGAAGGAGAGAAGGAGGGAGGGAGGGAGGGAGGGAGGGAGGGAGGGAGCAATGCATCCGAATGTTTCTTGTTCTCACCATCATGATGAATCCTAACCCCAGCGCCTGCTAGTCCATCATAGATGTTCAACAGCAGCAACATGCAAGACCTGCGATAGGGCAGAAGCGATGGAGGAGACTGCGGACCCCCAGTAGCCGCAGGCGCAGCACCCGTGCTCCACATGCTCCCACTCCCTTCCTCTCCTCCACGCGAGGCGCTCAAGCCTCTCGTTTCTCTCCCTCCTCTCTTCCTCGTGTTGAGCTCCCAACGCCAGCTCGACCCCAGCGAGCATGCGAGGGATGGAGGAGAGGAAGAGAAGGTAGAGGCCAAAGCTCCAGGGGGGGAAGAGGACAACGAGCCACGGGAGGAAGGGCAGGAGCCCCTTGAGCTTCAGGTAGAGCAGCAGCAGCGAACCGCTCGCGTACAGGCACCTCGTCCTCCGCGAGATTCGCTGGCCGCTGCCGTAGAGCGCCGATGCCCGCGGTCGTCCTCTTGCTGCACCTGCCTCATCCTGCTCGGGAGGAAGAGGAGGAGGATGCGCGTCATGAAAGGCGTGCTCCTGCGAGCGCCGAGCCGAGGAGAGGAGCATCAGTGAGGCATGCTCTTGCGTGAGAAGGGGAGAGAAGAGAAGAGGAAGGAGAGGAGTGTGCTTGCAATAGACAAGTCAGACAGCAGGAAATTGCTTCACTCTCTGAGCTTTCCTGCACAAAAACTTTCAGCTAATCAGATCAAATCATACTGCATGCATTACTGCCCTCCTGCCCTCCTGCCCTCCTGCCCTCCTGCCCTCCTGCCCTCCTGCCCTCCAGCCCTCCTGCCCTCCTGCCCTCCTGCCCTCCTGCCCTCCTGCCCTCCTGCCCTCCTGCCCTCCTGCCCTCCTGCCCTCCTGCCCTCCTGCCCTCCTGCCCTCCTGCCCTCCTGCCTGCCTCCCGTCCTATGACAAAGACGAAGCAGCATCGAAATACGGGTGAAACCTCGTCGAACCCGTGGTCTGGATATAGAAAAGGGGGGTGGAAGGGTTGAGGGGTAGGTAGACGAAGTTTCCAGTGTAGTAGTACGTGGGCATGGGGATGGAGGGAGAGAGGAAGAGAGCAGACGAGGCTGCAGAGGATGAAGATGTAGATGTTGGTGCTGATGGTGCTAGTGATGAAGATGTAGATGTTGGTGCTGATGGTGCTAGTGATGAAGATGTAGATGTTGGTGCTGATGGTGCTAGCGATGAAGATGTAGATGTTGGTGCTGATGGTGCTAGTGATGAAGATGAAGATGTTGGTGCTGATGGTGCTAGTGATGAAGATGTAGATGTTGGTGCTGATGGTGCTAGTGATGAAGATGTAGATGTTGGTGCTGATGGTGCTAGTGATGAAGATGTAGATGTTGGTGCTGATGGTGCTAGTGATGAAGATGTAGATGTTGGTGCTGATGGTGCTAGCGATGAAGATGTAGATGTTGGTGCTGATGGTGCTAGTGATGAAGATGAAGATGTTGGTGCTGATGGTGCTAGTGATGAAGATGTAGATGTTGGTGCTGATGGTGCTAGTGATGAAGATGTAGATGTTGGTGCTGATGGTACTAGTGATGAAGATGTAGATGTTGGTGCTGATGGTGCTAGTGATGAAGATGTAGATGTTGGTGCTGATGGTGCTAGCGATGAAGATGTAGATGTTGGTGCTGATGGTGCTAGCGATGAAGATGTAGATGTTGGTGCTGATGGTACTAGTGATGAAGATGTAGATGTTGGTGCTGATGGTACTAGTGATGAAGATGAAGATGTTGGTGCTGATGGTGCTAGTGATGAAGATGTAGATGTTGGTGCTGATGGTGCTAGTGATGAAGATGAAGATGTTGGTGCTGATGGTACTAGTGACGAAGATGAAGATGTTGGTGCTGATGGTGCTGGTGATGAAGATGTAGATGTTGGTGCTGATGGTGCTAGTGATGAAGATGTAGATGTTGGTGCTGATGGTGCTAGTGATGAAGATGTAGATGTTGGTGCTGATGGTGCTAGCGATGAAGATGTAGATGTTGGTGCTGATGGTACTAGTGATGAAGATGAAGATGTTGGTGCTGATGGTGCTAGTGATGAAGATGTAGATGTTGGTGCTGATGGTGCTAGTGATGAAGATGAAGATGTTGGTGCTGATGGTGCTAGT